ATCAAACACTCATTATACGGTTTTATGTACAAAAACTCCATGTTTGTTGTGTTAACAAATCATTACTGAATCAGCATGATCAGTTAATGAAATTAGCACATGTTCAAATGCTTTATGAAGAGTCAGCACAATCACTGAGATTGAATGGCAGCATTACATGGCATGAATACATCGCAACACATGACAACAATACATGGCAACACATGACAACAATACATGGCAACACATGACAACAATACATGGTAACACATGACAACAATACATGGCAACACATGACAACAATACATGGTAACAGCATAATGGAACAACTGTTTTGTGGCAGTTGGAAGTATTTGATTATCTGATGTTTGTTTGTTGGAATACTTTGCTCACAAGTAATGATAAATAAATGGTGATTGGTGAACTCTGTAATGAGCCGGGCTACTGTTTCAGTAGCGAGGTATTATGTTTATGTTGCTATTTCCACGATTAATGTGGGCTTTTCTGCATTTTTCTGCACAGTAGGAAAGTTTTCTTTGGTAGTCCTGACTGGGACTACTAGACTAACCCTTAGCTCCTATATAACTTTGATATTAACAAGTAAACCCATATAAATTGAAAAGGAGCCCCAGTCAATTGGGAGATTCAGGAACCTGGGGTAATCTAGACTTGCTTCATTTAGGGCTTTAGCATTGCAGAGGGCTAGGCGGTAGGTAAAATAATGTGGTTGAGGGACTGTGAGACATGGGACTATGGGACTGCTGAGGTGCCAGACTTGCTGTACTTCATGCTGGGATACACGTCCTATGGTCGACATTGCATCATATGCCAGGAAACATGTTCAACATGCAGGAAAAAAAACAATTATGTGTTAAGTAAGAATGAACACAGAGATAAAGCATGACAGCTGTCAGAGGAATTATGAATCATGTGTCCTCAGACAAATGAGAAATTGACCCAACAGAAACAGGCTGCAACTTACTGGTTCTGTCCATCAGGAACAATTGTTCTTGTTCCTTAAGAAAATATTTGTTCAGCTCAGCAACTGTCCACTTTATAGTCAGTTCCTTGCAAACGTATCTCACACTCAGTGACCCCTTTCTAATGTATCCATTACAGCTTTTCAATTCAGATCAGTCCCCATAGTTAAACTCTGACCCCCACTGAACCAGGGACCTTCAACAGGTATGTGTGTATCAGTCCCCATGGTTAAACTCTGACCCCCACTGAACCAGGGACCTTCAACAGGTATGTGTGTATCAGTCCCCCTTGGTTAAACTCTGACCCCCACTGAACCAGGGACCTTCAACAGGTATGTGTGTATCAGTCCCCATGGTTAAACTCTGACCTCCACTGAACCATGACATGGTTAAACTCTGACCTCCACTGAACCATGACCTTCAACATGTGTGTATATACCAGTCCCCCATGGTTAAACTCTGACCTCCACTGAACCATGACCTTCAACATGTGTGTATATATACCAGTTAGCTGCTGTACTTCACAGGGTGACACATTCCTTTACAAAAGATGTCCTTCACATATAACTACCTGGTCATGTTAGGGTAGAGCATCCTGTGTCACTGAGTGCAGGACAGTTAACGGTCTGTTAAAATCTTACTTGAAATCCGGGTGCTCACTATCAAATATTTACAGAGCCAAAGCAAAAAACTTACTGCATCAAACAGATTCCTAGTTTTATCATTTCCTCCTTTAGTCAGTGTAAAAGTGCATTGTGAAAAGAAATTACACTGCTTTACTTGCAGAAACAATATATAATCTGTGTTCTGATTTAAATTAGCTAAGTAAATATGTTGACATAACCCAACAAAACATTTTATCAGATAAAAATTTAAAATATTTAAGAAGCAACATATTCCATTAAATAATGTATTAATTGTCAAAAAATAAATTTTAAAAATGTTAAATCTACCCAAATCCTAAGTCAGTCTGTTGTGAATATTTCCAGCAGCCATGACACAAGCATGACGCAGACAATGATTATTTCACACTTAGACCTCCCATTACCACGATTACAGTTGCAAAATACTTCCTCCGATGCAAGGTCCATTTAATAAAAGAGAGCTGATTTAATCAAGATAATACAGAGCGTACACAGCCTTGTTAGAGCTTGAAGAGATGTAACAAGCAGTAGGACAGTGATTACCGGATGACACCGTCTTGCGTAGCTAACCTCAGGTCTCGGAACCACAGTGTGTGGACAGATGATAAACTATTCCAGGAACAGTTTACAGAATCGGTAGGTTTTGGTGCTGTTGACGTGGAGATGAGGCAGGTGTTGATGCTTAACATGTACATGTTTGTGAGAATATTATTGCTATAAAACCAACACTGGTCATATTTAGGTTTGGTTTCTCAAATATGCAATATGCAATGCAATTTTACTGAATGCTATTCAACATGCCACAGCATGTAGGGTGGTCACTACCAGGTATACAGATGCCACAACAGATGTTTGGTTTCTGTCTCCAGTAGTTTCAAGGTTGGTAATTTATTCCATCGCTTTATCTATGATGATGAACACACGTATATATATGTGTTAGATATCATATTTCATAGAGTTGAACTTTTACCTGATGATGGGGCCATAACAAGCCCTGAAACGTTGTACTCGAGAATAAAAAGAAGATGTAACCCAGAAAAAATCTCTATGTTCATCAAATATCATCTTCTAAAATGCCAATCAAGCATCTTATTCCTCCATAGTTCTTCGATTCAGGATCCTACACTCTACATGGTTATTAGGATCCAATCCCCTACATGGGATTCAGGATCCTACCCCAAACATGGGATTCAGGATCCTACACTCTACATAGGATTCAGGATCATATGCTCTTCATGGGATTCAGGATCCTACACTCTTCATGGGATTCAGGATCATACAATTTTCATGGGATTTAGGATCATACACTCTTCATGGGATTTGGGACCATACACCCTTCATGGGATTCAGGATCATACGCTCCTCACATGATTTGGGATCATACTCTTTACATGGGATTCAGGGATCATGGGATTCAGGACATGGGATTCTCCTACATGGGATTCAGGATCATACACTCTACATGGGATTCAGGATCATACACTCTACATGGGATTCAGGATCATATCATGGGATTCAGGATCTACACTTACATGGGATTCAGGATCATACTCTACATGGGATTCAGGATCATACTTTCAACATGGGATGGGATTCAGGATCTATACACTTTACATGGGATTCAGGATCATATGCTCTACATGGGATTCAGGATCTCTACATGGGATTCAGGATCATACACTCTTCATGGGATTCAGGATCATACTCTCTACATGGGATTCAGGATCATACACTCTACATGGGATTCAGGATCATATACTCCACATGTGATTCAGGATCATACACTCTACATGGGATTCAGGATCATGCACTCTACATGGGTCTTCATGGGATTCAGGATCAGCTTCTACTCTTCTACATGGGATTCAGGATCATACACTCTACATGGGATTCAGGATCAAACAGTCTTCATGTGATTCAGGATCATACACTCCACATGGGATTCAGGATCATACTCTCTTTATGGGATTCAGGATCATACTTTCAACATGGGATTCAGGATCATACACTTTACATGGGATTCAGGATTCATGGATTCTCCACATGGGATTCAGGATCCTATGCTCTACATGGGATTCAGGATCAAACAGTCTTCATGTGATTCAGGATCATACTCTCTTCATGGGATTCTGGATCATTTGGTATTAATGGGATTCAGGATCCTACTCTGTACATGGGATTCAGGATCATACACTCTACATGGGATTCAGGATCATACGCTCTACATGGAATTCAGGATCATACGCTCTACGTGGGATTCAGGATCATATGCTCTACATGGGATTCAGGATGATGCGCTTTTCATGGGATTCAGGATCATACGCTGTACACGGGATTCAGGATCATACGCTCTACATGGGATTCAGGATCATACGCTCTACATGGGATTCAGGATCATACGCTCTACATGGAATTCAGGATCATACGCTCTTCATGGGATTCAGGATCATACACTCTACATGGGATTCAGGATCATATGCTCTACATGGGATTCAGGATCATACGCTCTACATGGGATTCAGGATCATACGCTCTACATGGGATTCAGGATCATACGCTCTACATGGGATTCAGGATCATACGCTCTACATGGGATTCAGGATCATACGCTCTTCGTGGGTTTTAGGATCATATGCTCTACATGGGATTCAGGATCATGCACTCTTCATGGGATTCAGGATCAAACACTCTACATGGGATTCAGGATCATACACTCTACATGGGATTCAGGATCATACGCTCTACATGGGATTGAGGATCATGGGATTCAGGATCATACACTCTACATGTGATTCAGGATCATACGCTCTACATGGGATTGAGGATCATATGCTCTACATGGGATTCTGGATCATACACTATTCATGGGTTTCAGGATCATACACTCTTCATGGGATTCAGGATCATACGCTCTTCATGGGATTCAGGATCATACTATCTTCATCAAGACAGATCAAAGTAATCTATGTCTGTAGATGCTCTGAGCAGGAACATAAGGCAGCTCGTACAACATTTAGGATTCCTGTGCTACAAGAATGTAAAGGTAGTCATCAAGCACCACTGCATCAGGATGGGTATACTTTGTACATACCTAAAACATGCTAGCAGTGTAAACAAAATATAGTTTTATCAGGACATGCCAAACAAAATAGAAAGTAATCTTTCCCAGACATCATTAGAACCAGTATTTTGGAAGAGTATCTGTAACAAGCACCAGTCAGAAGTGGTGTATTTTCTCATTCCAACCTACTCTACCTTCTTGTGATGACACAACACGGAGTCATTATATACTCTGGTATAACTAAGTCTCCATCAGGAAACAAGCAACGACAGTTCAGTGGTAACAGCAAGCCCACCCTGCAACCTTATCTTATCAACATTGCAACAATCCACCTACCCTGTGTGAACGCAGACCATCAATATTGACAATAAATCCCACTCCACAAGCATCGCTCTCGTACAGTGGGTCGTACAAGCCACATGCCTCAGGGATGCCCGGGACCTTCCCTGCCACACACCTCATGCCTTGACCCGCCCTGCAACATAAACACAAGACATTGTTACAACATGGACCAAGTCAGACCTGCCAGTATAGTTATAACATTGATAATGTCAGACCTGCCAGTATGGTTATAACATGGTAAATTTCAGACCTGCCAATGTGGTTATAACATGGCTAATGTCAGACCTGCCAGTCTGGTTATAATGTAGCTAATATGTAAGACCTGTCATTATGGTTATAAAATTGCTAATGTCAGGCCTGCCAATATGGTTATAACACTGGTAATGTCAGGTCTGTCAATATGGTTATAACATGGCTAATGTCAGACCTGCCAGTCTGGTTATAATGTAGCTAATATGTAAGACCTGCCAGTATGGTTATATTATGGCTAATGTCAGTCCTGTCATTATGGTTATAACATTGCTAATGTCAGGCCTGCCAATATGGTTATAACATTGGTAATGTTGGGTCTGCCAATATGGTTATAACATAACATGTAGCTAATATGTAAGACCTGCCAGTATGGTTATGTCATGGCTAATGTCAGACCTGCCATTATGGTTATAACATGGCTAATGTCAGACCTGCCAGTCTGGTTATAATGTAGCTAATATGTAAGACCTGCCAGTATGGTTATATTATGGCTAATGTCAGTCCTGCCACTATGGTTTATGGTTATATTATTGCTAATGTCAGTCTGGTAATAAAATGGCTAATGTCAGACTTGCCAGTATATTGGTGTTAACATGGCTAATATCAGTCTTATACTAGCACAGTTATAACATTGCTAATGTCAGACCTGTCAGCATGGTGGTTATAACATGCTAATGTCATTCCTACTAGTATTGTTATAACATGGCTAATGTCAGACATACCAGTGTTATTATAATTAGCATTGTCAGCGTCAAATCTACCAGTATGGATGTTACATTGCTAGGGTCTGACCTACAAATATGGTTATAACATTTTACATTGAGCATGAAAGTATCATTATAACCTGGCAAAGGCAAATCTGAAGAACAGTGTAACACAACATATGGTGCATATATTGAGTGGACCCTGGCCATGATATATATATGAAGCATGGTTTAACCTGGCGTAACCTGCATCTGAAGTATGGTAAAATATAATCTGTGTTATATCTGAAGTGTTAGAAATCATGGTCCATGTTAGGTCTAAAATATGCATGACCATCCCAGTCTATCTTAAGTACAGCTTAACAATGGCATATGTTGCATTTGAAGTACAATAAGCTTCACCTGTCATATCTGAGGCATATCTTAAAATGGCCTATAGTGTACCTGCAATATAGCTTAACTCAGCCTATGTTGTATCTAAAGTACAGCTTATCATGGCCTTTGTAGTACATAAAGTATAGCTGACTATGTCATTTGTAAAACTGGCAGTACAGATTAACATGGCTTATGTCATACAGGGATGAGAACAGGTAAAGTGAAAACAAGAGGAAAATGAGCCAGTGGGGTCTTGGGGGTCGTAGGTCCCTATGCCAGATCCAGTGACCCCAGTGCAATCAAATCTGCAGAATTCTGCGGATCCACAGAAAATTCATCCCTGTTCATATTGTTAACCATAGCTAACAGCCCTGTGTGACATCTGCATTATAGCTTCATGTGTGCCTTGTGAGAGCTGCAGCTCTGTATAACCCTGATAACACAGCATTAGTTAAATCTGCATGTGTGTGCACACGCGGTGTACCCATAGATACAGTATCACGTGGCCTATGTCTGGTGTGACAGAGTTGAACCCAACTTTGCCCTGCTCAAAATATCTCAAGTACTTACTCCTAAACATTCCAACAACATGTAATAGAAACATCTGACATTGCCGCACGGTTATGTCAACGGAGCAATAAGCAAATGCTACACTTACCACACTGTGACTAAAATAACACAACATTTCACTTCTCATGCATAGAGCATAACAAATCTGGACAAAAAACAACATTCCCGACAAGTAACATTCAAAGACCCCATAAAATGTAGTCCTAGACAATATGACAAATATCTCTCTGTGGCACATTGTGTTACAAGTTCAGTGACAGAGTGAACATTGCTTAATGCCGCACCTTAATTACATCTCAGAGCAGGTAGCTAGTTATCGTTTTCCACGCACATACATGTAACAGAGCTCATCCAGACTTGCTAATCAATTAAACATATCTCAATTTCTCCATATTACATTCTATGGACATGGATTTACTTCTTACTCAAAACTTAGTGCCCCTGAAAGTGTTATTTCAATTAAAATTAGAAATACAGATGTATTTTAACAGTGCATTATGAGATTGCATAAAATGCAATGATATTAAACTAACCATTAAATCTTATTCCTCTTCATAGGTTCTGTTGTCAGTGAACTAGATATTACCCCTTCCATACAACTACTTCTCAGTTATAACATGAATTAATCATTAAAATTGGGAATATTTGAAGAATTGTTCTGCAGACTTGGCAGTGAATATTTGGGTACACCTATAAGTCCTTGATAACAATTGGTTTCATTACCATATCTGCTAATATTTCCTGGAAATTCTTATTGCGTAACATTTCATATTATACATTTCAGCTGTTAACATGCACCATGTATTATACAATGTGTAGCAGGCATGAGCGAACATACCTGCTGGTATACTGCTGGTAATGTGATTGAGTTGCTTCAGGTGGCTGGTGTTCTTTACACCGTCTGTGCTGCTATGCTGTCTGTCTCGAGTTGCCACGCTCCTCAAGGTCACACCACAGATGTGAAGGTTGGCTGGCCCAGAATATCACAGTACTGTCCTGGTTATGAACTATAGAAAGCTTTAGGAAGTCTGAAACAGGAACAGCAATTGCATCAGTGGAGTGTCAGATGGGCTGATGCAGGAGACGATTTCATCTCCTGTCTGTCGCCTGCCTGGTTAGTGGGAGCACTGCTGCGATAGATAGACCAGTTCGTGAAGCAACGTTAATAACAACACACAGGTCGAAGGATAAATAATGTCATTTCTTTTAAAGCTAAATTCATTCAGTTTCCAATAAAAATGTTTAAGTATCAAAACTCTCCTTAACTTGTCAATACAATATTATTTTACAACTGCAAGGATCACAGCAGACAAATTATGTTTATGACAACTCAAAATGATATAAAAAAAGTTTCTTTACAATTTAACTCTAAAATATTTTGAGGCCTACATGTCTGTCTGTGATCGCAGATACAAGAGCATTATAGGCCCTGCTGGTTTATAGCTTTCTGTGTGCGTACAGGTCTCCCTGATCTGACATCATGTGCATGCTCACATGTTTGGGAGTAATTAATCAAGATGGAATCAGACAGTGAAACCTCAAGACTGGTCAACACAATCACTATGTGTTATAATCAGGGTTATCGTCCTCCACAATCTCAAAGAATCAATTTCAAATACTTCACAGTGACCCATACTGCTTCCAGCACTGACATGTCGGAAGTGACTCCTGATTCCGTATTACATCTTCAAGGGACAATTCAGATTACCAAGGTAACATTGCACTATTCAAGGAAAAAGCATAAAACTAATAATCAATATATAAAAAAAAAATGTGGCACATTTGATTACATTTTGACAAAATACATTTGTAGGTAATATTCTGAAATGAAGGCCACAGATTTACAGCATTTGAAAATTTTTTCCAATTTGCAATGAAATGTGAGATGAATAGTGACACACATGAGCAGATACATAGAAATATCACATGACAGAATTTGACATAATCGACATAATGTAGATGGAAATTTGTACGTAAATTAGGCCATTTTTTTCTGCCAGCCACATTCCAGCGGTATCAATACTGGCTATTGGTGTAGTCTGTGCCTGGCAAACAAGTGAATGGATGGAAGCACAGGCAACAATCCCACAGACGTGATGATACAATCAGCACCACCACATACAAATCATCTTCTTAGTTAAGTTCTAAGACAAACACTGGGGGTGCTAGAGATCTATTCTGAATAGAAATCACAACATGAACCCTTTCCAAAAAGAAAATTTAGTTCATGTAGGTTATTTTGTGTCAATATGTTTGTTTGTTTGTTTAATGCTGCACACAGCAATATTCCAGCTATATGTCAGCTTTCTGTAAATAATTGAATCTGGACCAGACACTAAAGTGATCAACAGCAAGAGCATCAAAATACCCAACTGAGATACGATGACATGTGTCAACAAAGCCACCGAGCCTGACCACCTGATCCCATTAGTGGCCTCTTATGACAAGCATTGGTTACTGAAGACCAATTCTAACCTGGAATTTCACAGGTTTTGTGTGCATATGACTGCAATATTGCCCACAGAAATTAGTGGGCAGACACTTAATACTATTCTGCTACTTTTATGAAAGTTATTCTCCAAAAATACTGCTAAGTTCATGTTCCTGCATAGACCAAGTGAGTGAGTGAGTATGGTTTTACGCCACTTTTAGCAATATTCCCACAATATCACACGTGAGACACCAGAAATGGCTTTGCACATTGTACTCATGCTGGGAATCAAACCCGGGTCTTTGGTGTGATGAGCGAACACTTTCACCACTAGGCTGCCCCACTGCCACCATAGACCAAGTAGAGAAGAACATGAAAAGGCCACACTGAGTTCAAAACACTTGCTTACATATGCCATGTCTACAGTCTGGACAGACTTGCAAGTATTTTTATTTTCTGAAAATGATATTGAATGCATCCACCTGGAACACAATATCGTTCACATGGCATACTATATTAAACTGTCACATCTTCTTGTGTCAACAAAATCCCAGGTAAGTTTATAGTAGTTACACATGATATGACGCAACTGACCATGATAAAATTACGGAAATTGAGTCTACACTGTTGGAATGTTATCTTGAATGGATTGAGAACTATCACGTTCCACTGAAGTGTGTGTCACTGGTTAACACTGACCTTCACAGTTACAGGAGGCCACACAAGGCCACAACAAGGTCAGTGGAATTAAGTAATCATGCACTGAGTCATTCACAATGATAACGTGGACATAGGCACTGAATCAGGTATTTCTTTCATGTTCTCTCAGGTGCACTGCCCACGTGATTCCTTCGGGTTATGGAGTACATGGAATCTCAAAGTCTGTACCAGCAGAGCCCATGGAAATAGTCAAGGATGAAAAACACCCCTGAGACTATAAATCTTTTCTTCAGTCTTCCTGTCACACTCACAGGTTTTCCATCCTGCTTAGGTGTTGAATGCCCTAACTAAACCACAGTTTCATACTTGAGAGCTGAATGTCCCAACTAAATCTATGGTCCCATACACAGGTGTTGAATATCCCAACTAAGCTATGGTCCCATACACAGGTGTTGAATATCCCAACTAAAGCTATGGTCCCATACACAGGTGTTGAATTTCCCAACTAAACCTATGGTACCATACACAGGTGTTGAATGCCCCAACTAAAGCTATGGTCCCATACACAAGTGTTGAATGTCCCAACTAAAGCTATGGTCCCATACACTGGTGTTGAATGTCCCAACTAAAGCTATGGTCCCATACACAGGTGTTGAATGTCCCAACTAAAGCTATGGTCCCATACACAGGTGTTGAATGTCCCAACTAAAGCTATGGTCCCATACACTGGTGTTGAATGTCCCAACTAAAGCTATGGTCCCATACACAGGTGTTGAATGTCCCAACTAAAGCTATGGTCCCATACACAGGTGTTGAATATCCCAACTAAAGCTATGGTCCCATACACAGGTGTTGAATGTCCCAACTAAACTATGGTCCCATACACAGGTGTTGAATGTCCCAACTAAAGCTATGGTCCCATACACTGGTGTTGAATGTCCCAACTAAAGCTATGGTCCTATACACAGAATGTTGAATGTCCCAACTAAATCTATGGTCCCATACACTGGTGTTGAATGTCCCAACTAAAGCTATGGTCCCATACACAGAATGTTGAATGTCCCAACTAAACTATGGTCCCATACACTGGTGTTGAATGTCCCAACTAAAGATATGGTCCCATACACTGGTGTTGAATGTCCCAACTAAAGCTATGGTCCCACCTTGAGCTATGGTACCATACACAGGTGTTGAATGTCCCATCTAAAGTTATGGCCCCATATAGACTAATGCTTAGTCTCTGAATATATATAATTTTGATAGTAACAAACAAGCCCATTTAAATAGAAAAGGAGCCCCAGGGAGACCAGAGATTGAACCTGAGGAAATCTAGACTTGCTTTATGTAGGGCTTTAGCACTGCAGAGAGGGCTTGTCAGTAGAGAAAATAATGTGGTTCAGGGACTATGAGACAGACTAGGTCCCATACAGAGGTGTTGAATGTCACATCTAAAGCTATGGTCCCATATTCATGTGTCAAATGTCCCACCTAAACTATTGTTCCACAGAGTGAGTGAGTGAGTTTAGTTTTACGCCGCTTTTAGCAATATTCCAGCAATATCACGGCGGGGGACACCAGAAATGGGCTTCACACATTGTACCCATGTGGGGAATCGAAACCCGGGTCCTTGGAGTGACGAGCGAACGCCTTAACCACTAGGCTACACCACTGCCCCTTGTTCCACAGACATCTCTTCAATGTACGATCATTGGCAGTCATGCACTCTGGTGTATAAAGTCTCAATTGTACTGTGTGGTCACACACTCTGGTGTTGAATGCCCTAATTAAACTGTATGGCAACACACTCTATTGTGTAATGTCCCAATTATACTTTCTTGTCCCAATTTATCTATCTTGATATACTAAGGTGTTTGAATGTCCCTGACCCACATTACTTCCCATTCCGCCCAACCCTTTCTGCAATACAAAAGCTCTCAATGAAGCAAGTCCAGATTTCCTCAGGTTCAGGATCACTGAGCTCACTAGGGCTGCTTTCCAATTTAAAAGGGGTTATTTGTTTGTAGAGCTGTGACGATATATCATAGTATCGATAATCATGATACTTTTTCTGACAATAAATATATCGATACTTTTTTCCGTATCGTGATGTGCATCATTGACCTTAACATTGTGAATTTTCACTACAAATTGACGGTTATGTCAAAATTTACAGTTTCTTGTTATCAAAATACACTTTTGTAAAGAAAATAACTTAAGATAGCATATCGTGATAAGCATCGTATCATTCCATGATATCGCGATACGTATCATATCGTGAAATTTCTGTATCGTCACACCTCTGTTTGTTTGCATCAGTTTAGTTGAATGTTACAACTAAACTGTATGGTCACATTATAATTTTGTTTCATTTTATGTTTTATGAAATTCAAAATTTATTGGCATATTTTTGTATTTTGTATGTCATTAACATCAGTTCTCAGTGTCTGTACAATATGGAAGAAGCCTTCTGATTTTAACGAGACTGGTTATAACAAAAATCATCCTTCCCTTTCAACAATGCTGTATCTACACAAGGAAATACCATATCACTGGAACATTCACTCTCAAATAACTGTACAGAGATATTTCTAGAGGGTTTTTTTTGTAAAAAATTAAGAAATAAGCATGTAAAACAAAAGCCTTCCTCTTTACATTCCAGAAATATTTGGCTGAATATCTATTAGTCTACTGTGGCTTTATGTCTAAATCAAATGGTGCTTAATCATGACTTTATATACAATACTGAACTGTAAGTAAATATTTCTGATTCTGAAACTTAATTACCAGTCTGTTGCTCTAATTCACACAAATTCTATTCAGATGCAAAAAGCTGATGAAGGTATAAAGCAGATATGTAAATTGAGAAACACCTTAATTTTATTTTCATAAAATCATTTTGTCAAATTTGGATTTTGCTGACTTCTTGTATTGCTTGAATTAAATGAAAATATACATCCATATGTTACATGGTTAAATATTGTTTTTCATTAACAAGTAGTATGGCACTGGTAATGAGATTTAGTCAAAGAAAACAAAACTCATTACCAGTGCTGTTCTATACATTAAAGTAAAAAACCAATATTATTTAGTTTTCATTTCATTTATTATTTCAGACTTGTCAAATTATCTCAAGCTCATATACTTGATAAACCTGAATACATATATTAAACACACGAATAATGAAGGAGAGAAAGTCATCAACACTCGTTCAAATGTGGCTTCGAAAATACAACGGAATTACGTGTAAATAGTAAGCATAAGTTATAAAGACATCGTAACGGGTCACCAGTTTAGACCCTCACATAGTATCCACTGTCTTCTTGGAAGGGGATTAACCGACTGCACAACAGTGAATGCAATGCTGCATACACTACAGAGTAAATGAACGACTCAAGGAAATATCAAAATAGCCTTGACATATACCCAAGTCGTACTCACATGCCAATCCCAGTGCGATGTTCGACGGGGATACATTGTAACTACTAGTGTACGACTCAAGAATTTGTACCTGCATTTTCGCATGTGTACAACCAAAATAGTATTGTAGTCATTTCCTTGTTGTAGCGCTACGAAGAATTCCGCTTCATAGCGATTGCTTTCATTCAAATGAGTCTAAAACACTTACCCCCTTGAGAAAGCCTAGACGCGTTTGGACTGTTTGGTGCAACCTCTCTTGCCTAAATAGAAAGCTCCGGTCTGAATTAATTCGTATCATGGACTAGTCGAAGCGCACGTAGTAAAATAGTTTGCTGTGGTATACATGTGAATGGCACGTGCTCAATGTAAGACCTTCTCTGATTGGTCCAAGCTGGACTTACCCATTTTTCGGGGTTGTTTATGTGTTTTACACAACAGCATGTATTCCACGTGGGACATGGTTATCTGATAACTGTACACACGTCAGCGCATGTTTTACGGCTCCCCCCCCTACAGTCTTCACTTATACCGCACATGGAAAGAACCAAAAACCAACGGCATTTAGTGACGTTCAGAAGATTAGTTTTGGAGTGTTCATCACTGGCAGTAAATCGATTTTGAGGGTCTGAACGTGCGAGCTCACGTTCAGCTCAAACGAATTACAAAATATTTTAATATTGAATTACAGGGAGTTTCCATTGGCTTTTGGTGGGATAGGTGTATGTGTGCGCGCGATGGGGTGGGGGGGGGAGAAGTTTGTTTCATTACCTTATTATCATTTTGGGGTATATGAAATGGGATTGGCTTTATCTGGTTTTAACAACACGGTGGGGCTGGTGGAAAATAACAAATGCAATACTGAATGATGATAAGAGAGTCGACTGTGATTGTGATTAATTTCATGTTGCACAGCATTGAACTTTGTCCCCCGCTCCAGGGAAATACCCACCGTAATAATAACTTCGGTCAGCACTGACCCAGCACAGTACCGCCATGCAGCTGGACAGTGAAACATTGGTCAGATCCAGACTAGTGAGTGAGTTATTATTTAACGTCACATCGGCAATATCGCAGCCATACCGCGACGAGAACATATTTGACATTGAAACTAACGGGTATAGTCTATGAAAATATACAATTTTGTTCAAAACGAAGCAATCCATTTAAATTGAAAAGGAGCCCATGTAAGTTTGTGTATCTAGACTTGCTTTATTTAGGTCTTTTGCATTTTGTAAAGGGAATTTGAGACAGACGATAGGGACACGAGACCAAGAACTGAACTCGGCCCTCCACAACACATATCCTATCGAAGACTGATGCGAACTTCAGACTGACTTACCCCCCACGAACCACCGGACACTTCCAACTGCTAGCTTTGCAGCGTATTGTGCGTCTTTTATAAAACTACGTGTTGCTGTTCCTGGATAATTAAGACCGTTGGAAGAAAGTTAACTAATAAAAACCATATATGGCTTCTGTTGATAACGAGCGAACCTCAACACAAATGTCTATAATAAATAGAGTTTCTGTTCTTGTCCTGTCTCAGTTGGAGTTCTGATACGATCTTGGGTCTGATCAGGTCCTGTTCGAAGGGAATCAACGCTGATGGTCTAGCAAGGAGTCTCATGAATGTGTGTTACAGTCCGGCCCCCCCTCCTCGTTAATGGAACCCTTCATATGTTATCAGTTGACATAGCAGGGCTCAACACTCCACCAGACTGAGCTCTATATTGTGATGTACTGTAATGGCGAACAGATGGTAGATGTTATATAACCGATGTAATCGGTGTACACAATCGATGTAATGTATATCTATTAAACGATTTGAGCATCATAATATATGAAGTCTTTATTTTTACGCGGTCTTTTTGCCCGGGTGCACAAAATGATCAATCAACCGCTCACTTTTCTGTCTGTTAAAACTGATGCGTGATAAATGATTATCATTTCGAATGCGGTAATTGGCTATGAAGTTAAATCTATAAACTTAATCGAGAAAACAAACATATTTATGTATAAAATCCTCAAAATAATGACATAACACAAATTTCCGTTCTACGCGTTTCTACTTATCTTCAGGGAGTGATCGATAACTCCCTGAAGATAAAGTTGAAACGCGTAGGAGGGACATTCCTGCTGTGTCATTATTTCGTGGACTTCTTGGTGTATGTACTACTGCACACTACTGAACTCCAGACGACTTTGATTTAAAATACACAATTCTATATGTTTTCTATCCAAGAAGATTGTCGAGGAGAATTTTAAATATGTAATTTAAAAGGTTCTGTTTGACGTTTGAAGTGACGTACAATCTGCTTGTGTTTATCACAACATTTCATTTCGAAAATATGTCAGGTCACCATTGGGCGGTCGTACATGTAGGATGTATGAAAGCCATTTTTCGTGGATGAGTTTCATTATTGACTGTTCTGGGATAAAGCTATACTCAACTCCGACAGTTAGTGGACGATCCTCTGAGGAAGAAATGGTTAAAAGATCTTGTTTTATTGTATTTATATTGTTCTCATGGCCTTCAGAGCTATAACTGAGAGCACTGTTAAAGTTTAAAATGCATGGCCAGTCCAAACTATCCTTGCTAGACACGTAGGGCGTTGAGGCGAAATTGATGGCCATCTGATTCCAATGCCACATCCCATATTTGGATCCAAGGCCACATCAATGCCACATCCCATATTTGGATGCCACTTCACCATTAGATTCGGGGAAGTGCTGCTAATTAAAGGTATCTTTTTGAAATTGACATCAGTATATCTGCCTTTAGTTCCGGGAACTAGTTGTCCAGAGTCTTATTATGCTCTAGTTCTCTTTGGTTCACATGCAGATGATTTCTAAAGAGATTCTGGCAACATTTTCTTAGAGATTGGCGCAAATCTACGGCCACCCGTGATGCCTTAGAAAGGACACGCAGATCTGCGTACATGTTTCTGGGGCTCCTTTCACGAAGCAACCTTTACTAAGGTTAACCTTAACTCCCATTCTTTAACATAGCACTAAGGTTACCTCAGTGACTTACGATCACCTCAGTGCTTCGTGAGAGGAGCCACTGGTAAATAGTTGAAATTGGTGAATTTTCGGATAGCAAGTTAAGATTCGATGCATGTCAACAGGTATTTGCAATATGTAACCGAACCTTTACATTTATACCTGTGGTCACAGTTGTATGCTTTACTATACAAGGACGAGCACAACAATGCGTAGGCCTGAATTGCATCGTATGTTATATAAGTTTAATGGGTGGTATACTCAAAGGGTGCCCTGTAAAGTGTAGGTCTATTTGATCGTAAACTGCTTTGTCCGAATCTCGTCCACTTACTTCGGTTGAATGGGTCGTTGTCGGCACAGGTACTACAGATATCTACCCCAGGTACGTTTCAGTATACAGTAATGTAACCTAAACAAAGTCAAAATACAAGAAGGTACCCGGTACCCTAAACGGCGGACGAGCCCATTATTGTTGAATCTAAAACCGAAACCGTATGTAGTTGTTCCCGTTCGCCTGGTCGCGAGTGGTATTCTGCATCGAGAAATACTCGTCACTGTCTACGCTCGTTTCTAAATAATTATATACAGCAATTATATGCATCTTATACAACAGAATGACAGTTTCAATCAAGAAAACGGCACTATGCGGAATGGACTCGTCCTTGAGTATATTTTTGTAAACCGAAAAGTAACGGGGGTACATATTTGAAGTACCTAGGGTACATATTTGTAGTACCCGTGCTGACAACGACCCATTCAGCTTTACTTCACGTACACAAACAAACATGTCAGCTGTAGAGTTGCTGCAATAATGTAACATCACAAACATTATTATAAAAAACAACAATACAACAAACAGACGCAAGCTGTTACAAACGCCGCTGTTTATAAAATGATTTAGTGTAAGCCATTTAAATATGTTGACAAGGAAATAATTAGACCGCCACACACACGTCTCACTAAGAACAGTTTATATAAGTTGCTGTGTATATCCATCGATTGTGAAAGAGACAGGCCCGGGTACACGCAGGGGTCAACGCGCACAGAACGTGCGTACTCAACAATACTGATTTGACCTGGTTTACTTGACATACCCTGTTTATTAAAATGTACTCGTCCATCAACAACGTCGTGATCCCACACTCGAATGGAAAGCGGAAATTTTTATCAAACCGGAATGTTTCACCAGTGGCGAAATTTTCCCCTTCCCTATTAGGCATACTATCCTCGTTATAACGTTATATTGACACTGAATCGCTTCCATGGAAACTGCCGCTTTGTGTCTTTGAGTTTGATATCAGACTAGATCGAACTTGTATACTGTGTTTAATTTGTATCTGGTGAGTGACTTTATAGGAGTAACGCTGAGCTTTAAATAAGCCGCAATAAGTGTGTTTTCAATCCGGTTCAGAAAACCGGTTTCTATTTTTGCGTTTCCAAGGAAACTTGAATGGGCAAAAATTGATAGCCCATGCGTTGTCCACGTGCATGTTCGCGAATAGGCTATCCAATCAAAATGTCTGAGAGATGTTTTGTTCCTCACTGGGAAATTTTGATTGGTCAGCATATCAATGAAACTGTATGTATCGTACTACAAGGATTCACAAATTGTACTCGCCAAGAAACAAGGTGTCAGAAAACGAGAAAGCCATTGTCCAAAGGCAGTTTACCAAGAGTCGACTTTGTGATCAAAATACTAGTTTCTGTTAGAATACAGCAGGTATCCGTGGTAGAAGATACTATATCGGTCATCATTAACGCGTCTTAGCTGAAAAATACTTTTACAACAGAATATTAGAGAAGATTCAAGATCTGTACACACAGAGTTGAAGGAAGAGAATCTTGTACAAGCGTTAGTCTGATTTCAACCGATTCAAGTCCAATTTACTCATCCGATTTCGAAGATGCTGTCTTGCGATTCTGTGCCCGAGGAGGCATGCCCTGTTATGGACATGGACGAGGACCAGTTTCTGAGGCAGAATTCTCCATACACCACGATGCGCTACGACGATTTGAAGCATTTAATACATTCTGATGGCGAGTTCGTGCCAGCCCTTCACTTAAAAACGCGATCTCTACAGGAGCTCTTCAGATCCCGTTCCGTTGAAGAGATCGAGGAGCAGCATGCCGCCATTTCTGAAAAATGCCGTCTGCCACCTCAAGTCGTCTGCGGCAGCGAGCTGAACGAAGCGCCAGTTCGGTACGAAGTGAAAGGGCTTCTATCTCACGAGCTACCAGTAATAGGTGAGGAATTGAGGGGATTTGGGGGTATTTAATTCAAGTATTATTTTATCACCACTTATGCTAATCCACATATATTATGATAAGCGATTGTATTCGTTAGGTTCATGTAGGGCAGGTTTTGGCGAAATGGCGCCTTATGAGTTGACTGCAAGTGTGTTTCCAAAAGGCTTGGATCGATAAGTGAAGAGAAAGCCCCGGAATAGTGATAAATCATGTGTCTCAAACATGACTCATGATAAGAGATGTTAAATGGGCTCAGTGCCCAAGATTCACAGGCAGTGTCACACTGACATTATCTCAGCTACTACTTTTTTTCTCTGAATGTTTTGAAATGCACTTGCAGTCACTGTGTAGTCTAAGGTAATATAGGAATGTTTCAGTGAAGCAGGTAATTCAGGTTGTCTACACTGATTGTTCTATGTGCGCCAAATGAACCATTATACCCCTGAATAACTATACGTTCGTGTAGGAGGAATGTATAAATTATCCACTCATGGGTATCTGCACTGGTTTGGGTAGACTTGCACAAGTCTCTAAGGTAATAAGTGGAAAAATAGTTTAAATGATAATTTCTAAAAAGTATAAAAACAGACTGACGTCCTCAGATTTATTTCCTCTTTAAGGATAGAGTTACTATACATCCATGGGGTCAGCATTCAGTACAGCCTTGGAGCAAGGCTATGGTCTGGGCAACAGGTGGATATAATCACTCACACTTCACCAAGAGTGGCGCCCCAAAATATCCGTCAATGTATAATGGGACATTATTTCTTTTGGGCAAATGTTTCTCGTACGCAGAGCTTCGATTGTGTTACAATACCAGACAGCAGGCACAAGAGATTGAAGAATGTTTGGGTACGATAACCATGTGTTACCACGCGTGTAACACGTGTTCTATAATAAAGCCACTGGTGAAGATATTTAGTGATCATTCTGACACTCGATGCGATATTCCGAACAGCTGCTCTCGATGCGAGATACCGTTATTTATAAACTGCATATCACAAGTGCAAAAGGTCACCTTGAACCAGCACATGGTTTTAGAAAGACCGACTATGGGATCCAAGCTCACATAATATATAAATTGTGGAAACATTATCTCCTACCAGTGTAGATACCAGTGAACATTGATTGATAGGAGATATCATTTAGCCTAACCCAGCCAAACTATAACCAGTGTATATCGATGTATTTCACTTATGACCATGTAGACTGTTACCGTATTATCGGCAATAGGCGAACATTGTGATGAACTGTAATATATAGAAGACACTGGTAATGATACTTTAGACAGAAGTTTAAGATTTTGTAACTTTCAATGATCCAACTAACCTTATTTTTGTCATGTTATATCTATCAATATGTTGGCATGTATTTTCATATTCATCCTAACTGTCTTGTGCAATGAGAAAACCATATTGTGCTTTGATTTGTGTTCATATGTGATCATCATTGTTGTTGGTCACTTGTTCTGTGTATGCCGCCATTCTTGTGCAATTTCCTTTTGGAACAGATAGTTCGGGTTGAGAGATGATTGCGATTCGCTGACAGGGATCGCACGCATCGATCGCTCAGGGGAGACAACCCACCCGGTGGGTTTACCGGCAATCCTGAGACACCTGGAGTCGAGAACTATAGTATTCCTTTCTCACATGTAATTACTATGTATTCTGATGAATCATTGTTTGAAACGTGATATTTAATCATCTTTCACTTATATTATCTTGTTTATCCATTTATGATACAGACATCAACAGTATAACAGTAATAGGCACACACCACATGTTTAACCTTCCAATACCGTAAATCTACTAGCATAAGACAATACATTATTTCAGTAAGAGAGAATATCACACATGATATTATGTCAGAATATAATTATTGTAATAAATACCCAATGTTTATTGTTTTCTCATAAACACGCATCTATCTACAAAGCTCAAATGACAGTATGATCATGGCAGATACGTTATATAAACAAACCATGCTAGTTTAGACACCAAGTACATGCCCATACCATAATACCTTTTACGATTCCTAAAGACAGTTTCTAAGAATTGCCGTTGTGTTTCCACAGGGATATACGTAGACAAGCGGATCTGTCCTGGGTTCCGGTATAAGGTGCGGTATAACGGGAGAGACGAGGAGCTATTTGACGGGGAGGCACGCACTCTGCTCAGCGTCGGGATGGGCTATGGCAAGCGGCTGACCTTTGAAGGAGAGACCAAAAACTACAATGACAATTATTTCTGGTCAGACAGTGACCCAGAGGGTTTCGCTTTCAGCCTCGACGTCGTTTCTGTCGGCGATGTGTTCGTTATATACAATGCGCTGTCCGAGCCCGTGGGAAAGGTCACGATTGAGGCAATCGCGGGTCACCAGGAAGAGACCAATCAGGAGACGAGAACGGGATCCGTGTGCAAAACAGTTCGGGTCATGATGACCTGCAGTGTTGACTATTATCAGAGGCATCAGCTTCTAGACCTGCATTCAAAAGACTTGGAAACGATCGAAGGCGAGGTCGTTGTGGTGAAACACAAACGTGAAAAGAAGGCAAACATTGCGTGCATAAAAATGTGAACTTTTCCCGCTTAGGTGAATGCACGCTCCAAATTGACCAATAACCTTCCAGTGTCCTCAGACCAATATCAACGTTTTTTGATATCATTCTTTCAAATGAATGTATGACAATATCCTAACGATACGAACGAACAAACTGTATGTATTTCAGGAACATCTATATACAACGTACATGGGCTGATTCAGCTGGTGATATTTGTGTGTAAGATCCATCTTGCAAGCTTTACTTGGCCTTTTTGCCTAAGACTGTAAATATTCAACAGGCCAAATTGATCCACCCTGACCCGATGGTATTTTACGGTTATTCTTTAACCAGTTTTGCTATTTTGCTGTTATTGTTTTGTTGTTTTGTAATAAAATAATACGTGGAATCGCATTCCGTTTTATCTTATGATATATTTTTCATTTTTTATTTAGAATTCAGCTCCGCAAACTAAACCAAGGACATAATTTGTGAAACTTTGTTACCCAAAACACGAGGGAAACGAGGCCTTGTGACGTCAGTCTGTTGCTGGGTAAGCGAGCGTGTCTAAGCTCCTAAAGTGTTCTGCCGCCTCTATACACATTGTCATTGAATAAGCCCAGCGATGCTGGGACTTTTCAATATTTGTGTGCTAAATATAGACGACGGAGGCGCATTTTATGGCATTCAGCTACATTCCAGCAATATTATTCCTCAGGAAATCGACCTCGAGCTCGAGCCTTTGGTTTGACGACATGTTGCAGTTGTGCGTTGTACCCCAGACAGCGTTTGCCGGTGTTGACAGGTCATCACCCTATGATAACTTAACCTTATTGGTTAGTTTATGCAGCTATGATTGAAATACTATAACTCCTAAGTCCATGAAGCGGGTGTTTTGGTATATGACCGAAATTGGTTTGAACATTCCAGTGATATCACGGAGTGTCAGCTTAATGCGAGAGTAACGAGAAAAGTCATGCAGGTTTCCTAGTGGACCGCTGAAAAGCCGCACATCAGAGCGAATCTCGCATTCGGTCCATCGAACATCGGATCGTGTATGGTATAGGGGAAGCAACTCTGCAAAGTAAATTATGGCCGGGTCATCCCTGCCATGATTTTATGTATGGCTAATCGACACAGCAATGGCGATAACGCTCTTTATTCAGACATCTGAAAATGAGCTTGACATTTCTGCTCATCTATATTTTAACATCCAATTCGACCTGACGACCTGACCTGAGTCAGAAGGACATGTTGCTAAGCAGCCATTTGACATCATGTTATAATGATGTTGGATTGTTAGTATTATCACAGCACAATCAGCTGCTCCAGCGGACATTAGGAGGACGGTGTAACCTCGTTATTGGATCCTTTGGCCAATGTATTCTTTGAGGTTATGATCAAATTACATTATTCTATTCATTTTGTCTTACAAACATAATTTGAAATTAGCGTCATGTACTTATAATTAACGTAAAGGTATCTGTTGAATTCAGATAAGGAGTTGTTCTTCAACCTTGAGGAAGACCAGATTTAGAACAAAAACTCTTGGTAGTTAATTTAGGACAAGAAAAGAAGGTCCGTGGAACATTCCTTCCCGCCATGTTCCCGACGTAAGGTGTATTCCGTCAGTATAGCCAGATGTCATGTGACTGCGGCGGCATTACATAACATGTCTCATTGACAATGGTTTGCAGTGGGTCAACGGTATGGATTTATGACTACAATGGTTTCTGGTTGGGAAGCATTTTGTTTAAAAATGAATAACATCAATTTGGATTGATGTCTCAATTTTCAAAAATAAGTAAGTAAATGTTATCATGTATTGTTTAACGAACTGGTAAACTGCCACTAAATAACACCAGGCAACATGCAGGGTGGAAGAAGGCATTTGTCTGAGATAATATCCTGTGTCCCTCCTAAGCCTCAGTGTAACTCTTTGGATGATAATAATAATAATGTAAATGTATATAGCGCTAAATCCAACCACTAAGTGGGTGCTCAAAGCGCTACAAAATAATAATAATATTTGAATAGAGTTAATAGTGCAATGTAAAGAGATGCGTTTTAAGATATGATTTGAACGCAGCAAAAGATGGTGACAGTTTTAAGGCGAGGGGCACTTCATTCCACAGCGATGGAGCACAAACACTGAAAGAACGCTTTCCATAAGAGGCCAGTCTATAAGAAGGAGTTTTCAAAAAGCATCTGCTTTCAGATCGCAGTTGTCTGGATGGTTTGTAAGGGGTTAGCATTTCACTTAGATATTCTGGTGACATGCCTTTTAGACTCTTGAATGTGATACAGAGTACTTTAAACACTATCCTCGCCTCAACCGGAAGCCAGTGTAATGACTTCAGTATCGGCGTAATGTGAGAGTACTTTGGGGCACGTGTAACGATTCTTGCAGCTACATTTTGGACTTTTTGAAGTCTCTTCAGAGATTCTTTACTGATGCCTAGAAGCAAACTGTTCGCATAGTCCAACCTCGAGAGTACCAAACACTCTACTAATGTCCCGACCAATGTGGGCATCGGGTAACAAACTACACTCATGCTGTATCAGTACCACTGTCGACTACACGCGATGAGGTATTAAACCCAGTTTAGCATTGGATTCCGGGCAGGTGTTTGACCTGGACACTTGGCCCAGGCTTCTCCTTGTAGATGAGGTGAAGTAAAGTCTCCCAGTAACACACCCAGAGTACAATCCACCTGTTGTCTGTGAGTACACCAAGGCCCATCTCAAGAACAGAGGTCTGCCTGTTGCACTGAAAACACCTACGTATGTAGCATTCCAATCTTGTGAACATTGCAACATTTACTGGTACACTCCTTAAAATATATCATCACCTATCTTGAGAACATGACACATTCCACCCGTTTTACTGGAATGATGGGAGCTCTCGATTGCTGTTGGTTAACTTTAGTCCTCTGAAAAAAGTGGTGGTCCGATTAATTGAAATTATCGAAGATTGGTCGTAGTGACTAAACGACCAAGCAATCGATCGTAATTTCTCATAATCGAACACAAACAATTCTGGAACACTTTTTTGGTAGTGTTGGGAATTGGTTAAAATCTCATAATTGATGATTGGTTCATTACTACCGATCAATCATCGAAAATAATTGGTTAGCGTCATTTATGAAATTTGTTAATGCACATAAAAATAAGGGAAAAACGTAGTTCTCTTGGGGGTTTGGCAAAATTTCATATCCTTAAAGGATGACTAGTATGTTAGGAACATAAATTTCTTGGAATCTTTAAGATAAATTCAATCATGACTTGAAACGAGCTTGTAGTGCTTACGAAATGTAACAGACAAAACCAACCTTGTGAAAAATATTGTTAATGAAAACAAGTGTTCCAGAATTGTTTGTGTTCGATTATGAGAAATTATGATCGATTGCTTGGTCGTTTAGTCTACATCACGATCTCTGTCGGTTAATTTTAGTCCTCTGAATGGTGGGAGCTACATCACGATCTCTGTCGGTTTACTTTAGTCCTCTGAATGGTGGTAGCGACATCACGATCTCTGTCGGTTAACTTTAGTCCTCTGAATGGTGGGAGCTACATCACGATCTCTGTCGGTTAACTTTAGTCCTCTGAATAGTTGGAGCGACATCACGATCTCTGTCGGTTAACTTTAGTCCTCTGAATGGTGGGAGCGACATCACGATCTCTGTCGGTTAACTTTAGTCCTCTGAATGGTGGGAGCTACATCACGATCTCTGTCGGTTAACTTTAGTCCTCTGAATGGTGGGAGCGACATCATGATCTCTGTCGGTTAACTTTAGTCCTCTGAATGCCGGCTACATCACTGTCTCACCAAGATTGTTGGCTTGGATACTTCCGAGGCTGTGTATGGGCTTGTTCCAAAGAAATGTATAAGTGCCACTTTACAGGACGACTTCCACATACAAACGTACCATGGATGGACATGTGAATCGGTCATTAAGGACCGTCGAAAACGGTCATTAAAGGAACGAGTCACAGTGTCATGTTGCTTAAGATACTCTGTTCGTGCCCACGCTCGACATTCAATGACATGGTGTTGCACAGTTTTGTAAGACTAAGTACATAATCCACATTATATATTTATTTAATGCAAAATAACACGAGTACGACTTACAAGTTACTGGCCCTGGGCAGCAAACAAAGCCATCTGTTTCACTTTTCAGGCCAGATAACAACACATGAGGGAGTGTTGCCTTCTCCTCAACACACTGCACTTTAAACTCGATACAGTCGTTCATGTGCAGATTTGATAGAGACTTTCGCTTGGTTGGCACTCATTTCTGTACGGTCCAGCAGTATTGAATCATCCACAAGATATACATTGAGACCAATGAGTCCAACATCCTTGGCTCTTTTATGAACACCACGGACTGCCATGTTCAGGCCCGACCTTCCAGGAGATGGTAAATAACTTATCGCCTAAGATAAGATCAGTTAGTTACATATTGTGACCAATGGAAACTTAAAATTAATGTAACTAAGAGTAAGATCATTGTGTTTAGAAAAGGTGGCAGATTAAAGAATTATTGAAAGTTATTTCTTAGTTAATAACAACTTAGAAATTGTCCCATCATACAAGTATTTGGGGTTCATCTGTCAAGCTCAGGCTCATGGTATATCACTCAAAGGTTTTGGCCGAACGGGCATGGAAAGTTCTATCTATACTTAGATCCTCAATACCTAACTTTTCTAACTTTCTATACATGTCTTGCTTCAAATATTTGATGTGAAAATTCTACCAATTCTGCTATATGGCAGTGAAGTATGGGGCTTTCACACATCACCTAACCTAACGTTATGAATATTCACGACAAATTTTGTAAACAAGTTCTTTGTCTTCCAAACAATACCCCAAATATCTGCCTGTGCTGAACTTGGTAGACACTCATTAAAGGTAAATATATATATTGTAAAATTATGAAATATTGGACTAGATTGATCTCCCAAGCTGATAATGTCATCTTGAAGGATATGAATATCAATATAGCATTGCAGAGAAAGACTCCAATGTTTGGCATTGAATGTGAAAAGCAGGGCTCCAGATAACGTTTCAACATGTGGAGTACGTTCTGCTATGTTTTTCAATATAGGAGTACTGGAAAACAATAAGAGTACATTTAGAGTACTGAATGGAATTTAATGGAGTATCAGTAATCTTGTGTTTCGTTTCATATAAGCACCATAACATTGATTCTTGTGTAAACAGGTCAATAAACAACAATACAATACCTTTTTTAAATACATATGTCTATAAATGATTCGAAGACCGTATGAACGTATCTGTGGAACGTATCTGCTACGTTTTCTTAATTATTTCCTACCGTATCGTGCTTGTTTTATATCCGTACATACGCCTATACGGCCCTTATCTGGAGCCCTGTGAAAAGTATCTTCAACAGTTATGGATTTAGAAATGTTTGGTTTCACCAGAATGTGGGAAATATCACTGTTTTCGTGTCTCTATTCAACAAAGATGTATCGACCACGATAACCAGTCATGGAAGAATATCTTCTGTGCTTTTCAAAACTCGACTTTCTACATAATATTAAAGATAATGTCTCTTATGAGTTTTACATCAGCCACATCAAGTCTATGGTATTTCGTTCGTATTGCTGTAAGTAAATTCCGAAGCTCCAGTCATATGTTGATGATTGAATACGGTAGACGCCTTGGTCTTGAGCGAAGTGATTGCTTGTGTCCTTTTCGTATCATTCCAACTGTTGAAAATGAATATCATTTCTGCCCTGAGTGTCCATTTTACAACGATATTAGAGAAAATACAATTCCCAAATATTACTATAACCTCCCATCACAGGAGAAGCCGTCTCAACTGTTCATGTCAAAGAATATAATAATTGTTGTCATTAATGATCTTGGAAAATATGTATATCTAGCTCTTACAAACGTACTACGTTTTAGTGATTGTGATATCTGTATATCCTGATGTGTATCCTGCCCCGTAGCATCAATGTTAATTATTTATATTGGCGCTTGTTAAACTGCACAAGGTATGACATGTATAATGGGCCTGTGGCCCCTTTACTGAAATAAACACCCCTCCCTTTTACCTAAGTCCTTCTATCTTGACACGTTCAAGAAAACAAAGCTGTAGCATTTGACGAGTTCAAAGGGTATGCCAGTGTCATTGGACAAGAGATGCACCTGTTTTTTTCCAGCGTGAAATCACTCTTGGAAATAGGTTCAAGGTGATCCAGGTAAAGAAGTTGAGTACGAGGTGTTGTAGAAATGGTTCCGATGTCAGCACCTGCCCTTGCGAATACATCGCATGTTCTGCTGACAAACAAGCCATTAGTACAGGGAGTTCAATACATTCCAGTTATTTCAAAATCCATTCGTGATGTACACAATCATAAGCTTTTGTGCAGTCAATCCAACCCATTTAGAGCTTACGGTAGTAAGATTTCGATGACACAGGTTATGTAAGACATCCTGTATGTTGTACTGTGCTTGCAGACACGTACCTGAACAGAAGTGTTGTGGGTCCGTCAAATCACCTTTCATTGGGAGAGGTATTCCTCGACCTTTGCAGAACCAAGGCGGGACACCCCCTGCTTCCACGAGAGAATTGAGACAAGGAAGTAAAATGTTTGGACACAGGGGAACATTGTGCAACACCGGTTTTGAATACCACCAGTCCATAGGGTCGTATAGTTACATGTTTCAGGCATCAGATGTAACCGACACACAGGAAAGGTGACATTATTTTGTCATGTACTGTATCACGAACATTCTCTACCCCTAGTTGCAGCACAGAGACCATAACTGTTTCCAAAACATTTCGCTGGAATCCATTTACTGGTATCATTCAGGCCAATGGCCGCGTGTCAGTTGATGTAAATTGTTTTTCATCAGTTTTGAACAGTATATTTTCTTTTACAAAATGATTTTTCTTCTGCAACATTTTTCTCCTGTCAGTCAAAATCGTTAACCTTGCATCAAAGAATATCATTGATGCAGATTTTTTGTCTATGGTTGTCTGATATATTCTAATTTGTCATTAATTGCCCTGTGGAATAACAGCCTATCTTTCGGATGCATCAAATCAGATGATATAGGTTTATGAGAAGACTTCAGTTACACTTCTTCAGGGACAGACACCCGAAGATGCTTAATTTTGTTGTCCCACAACATGTATGAATGAGAGCATTGTAAATTCAAACTTCCAGTGAAGTATAATGGGCAAATAATTACCAAACGTTTTATGTAAATGTCATCCCTGTGGTCGGGGGAAATGTAAATAGCAACTTCACTTGTAAGAAGAACTAAGTAGAGAGCGCCAAATGAACACACACTATAGTCTATAACAGAGCGAAATGCATGGATGGATATCGGCAATATTCTTCAACAAATACAATGACTACGAGACCAACCATCAAAGTCCGTATCGTATTTAGTGGGGATTCTCCTTTTCCTACAATGTTGTTGAAGAACAGTTTAGTTTTACGCCGCTTTTAGTAATTTTCCAGCAATATCACGGCGGGACGGAAACCAGGAATGGGCTTCACACATTGTACCCATATGGGGAGTCGAATCCAGGTCTTCGGCGTGACGAGCGAACGGTTTAACCACCAAGCTCTGTCTTTCATACCCATTTACATATTGGTATCGTATTGTATTCATTCCCAAGATGAAACAAAAAAATTACTCAAAAGTTTACATAAAAAAATTCAGTGTGGAACCAACAAAAAAACAAACAAATGTCATAACATTAATGATGGTTTTGTAAAACTGACTTAGTGTACAAAGCACTATATAGAGGAATATATAGAGGAATATAGAGACAATATTCACATCACTCGCTGCCACAGATTCTTGTAATGCAGAACTGGCGCCAATTGGTTACCGATATCTTTAAAACATTATTGATATATTTAAATAAAAATGTCACATACAGATATCAATAAAACAATTGAAGATATCTGTAATTTATGACTAAACGTGAAAACGGCTTGCCACACACGCGTAGTCTTATCACTATATACAAGGACAAGCAAAACACCAAGTTCGTTTCAGGGCGAATTCATCAATGCTCACTGCACATACCCCTATGAAAATATACACGCATTTCGTGCCAGTAGAGTTACCTTCAAAACGAGATACAGATAAAACAAATCGTATCCGTACTTTGGGAGCAAGGGTCTTCAGAAGTTAGTAAACGTCTCGTTTTTACCAGTCCAAGACAAAGTATTTCCACATAGTTTGTACCTCAAACTGACAACAGTTATTGTGCATTATTATTTACCGGGTACACAAACGACCAAAACATGCTGCGCCCGTCAGCGCTCATCGCCATCCTTTCGGAGACACTTACACTTATCTGCCATAATGGGTTTGATGTTATCCACTTCTTTTGGGGGCTGTACACAATTTATCTTTTAACGAATGGACGCAAGAAATATAGTGAGCCGCCCCACATGCTAGCGCTATTCGGTATTTGAAACACGGCGCTGCAAATATAATATTTTATTTTAAACATCTCAAATGCAAAGTTAGTCTTGAAGACTTAATTCGACATCTCATAAAAGTAGCACAAATTGCACGAGCCCAATGTGATATGTAACAAAACATATTTGACATATGAACTTTAACATACTGCAAGGCTGATACCGCTAACATGACAAGTTGCAAGACTAGAGAATTCGGGTTTCCAAACGGTCAGCTACCAATATTTCATTGCTTGCGTCTTGATATTTTTTCTGTTTCTATTTGAATATTCCGAAGATAATAACTGTCACTAACAATATATGACACGTAAAATCGACTCACAAATCACCGACAATCTTGAAATGGGGTATACTAAGTAATGCCATGGGGATCAATAGTAAGTGATGTCACCGTGGTTTGTTTCCCCACACACATTAAGAGTGGTACTCCGATGGAAAGGTGTTACTGGTATCGTATCCCGAGGTGTCTCTGATTAATTATTTACGATTGTTAATCATCATTTAAGTTGGACATATTTTAGTTGGTGATTTATCCAACTATGAAATTCTTGTCAGCTCAAATCATATTGTGGTCATACCTCGGCGGTATGGTGACCACAACGAGTGCTGACACTATGGACATCCAGAGCAGACTTTCCAAGGAGAAAATGACGGACTACATTTTGACTGTCCCACCGATAATAAACGGCACAACTCTCAACATTACAATCGATTTTAATTTGGGGACCCTGGTTGATCTAAACGAAAAGGACCAATCCTTAACTTTAGACGGCTGGCTGGATGTTGACTGGACAGATCCCCGCTTGGCTTGGAGTGTGAGTGAATACAATACCACTGAAGTGTGTTTCAAGCAAAAACAAACCTGGCTTCCTAGCCTCGTGATCACAAACACCTTGAAGGAAAGGAAGGTTATGGGATACGACGATCTGTTGCTGTATGTGAGTCATGATGGACACGTCACCTGGTATCCGGGAGACATTTACAAGACACGCTGTATGGTAGACGTCACGTCCTTTCCGTTTGACTATCAGACTTGTACGATCAGTGTTGGACTATGGCTTTCCAACGATAAAGTGCGTCTTCAGGTATCCCCCGATCGTTCTGAAGAGATAACAAGTGACAAACCGAACAGTGAGTGGGAAATTGTAAAACTTTCGAAACATGTACGTAACGATGAGGTGGAAATTGTTATCAACATGAGAAGATATCCTTCATATTATGTCCTTAATCTTCTTCTGCCAGTAATGTTTATATCTTCTTTGATACCATTTGCGTTTGCCTTGCCTATGGAGAAAGGTGACAGAGTGAGCTTCACAATGTCCGTCGTGCTGTCCCTTGTGGTATTCCTGACCCTTCTTGGTGATACTCTCCCAAAAACGTCTCTGCAGATCTCCATTCTGTCCATCTACATCACCACCCTGCTAGGTATCAGTGTTCTGTCAGTTGTCATGGTAATCCTCATTCTCAAGATCTCAGCCATCTCGGACTCTAGACCGATTCCAGCTTGGATAAGGCGAACTACTTGCTTGAATGAAAGGAAGTTACGACAGGTCAAGAAACGCGTCGTCCCTGCACACACACACCACCCAACAGCAAGATTCTCTGACCCCAGTCAATTGTCAATCGCTCAACGCGGTTGAGATAGCAGATGGTTGCCCAACTGGCCAGCGTGTTTTGTGGGCGGATATTGCCAGCAGTTTAGATGCCAGATGTATGTTTCTTCTTTTTCTGTTACTTCTTGTTGCCAATATTACTTTCTTTACTGTGATATTAGTATAATGTTCACTTTACTCCAATAAGCATTCTTCATCACTTCCCTCACCATCCACACTACGTCATCGTTCTTCTTCACCTAGTCCTGTCTTCACCATCCGCTCTGGGTCATCTTTCTTCCTCTGCATAACACTAGCTTCACCACTGTCTTCATCATCTGCTCTGGGTCATCTCTCTTCCTCTGCATAACACCAGCTTCACCACTGTCTTCATCATCTGCACTGGGTCATCTCTCTTCCTCTGCAAACACGCTAGCTTCACCACTGTCTTCACCATCCGCACTGGGTCATCTCTCTTCCTCTGCTGCAAATGCTTCACCTAGCTTCACCACTGTCTTCACCATCCGCACTGGGTCATCTCTCTTCCTCTGCAAAATGCTAGCTTCACCACTGTCTGGGTCATCTCTCTTTCCTCTGCAAAATGCCAGCTTCACCACTGTCTTCATCTCTCTTCCTCTGCAAAATGCCAGCTTCACCACTGTCTTCACCATCCGCACTGGGTCATCTCTCTTCCTCTGCAAAATGCCGCGCTAGCTTTATCCCACTGTCTTCAGCTTTACCACTGTCTTCACCATCCGCACTGGGTCATCTCTCTCTTCCTCTGCAAAATGCTAGCTTCACCACTGTCTTCACCATCCGCACTGGGTCATCTCTCTTCCTCTGCAAAATGCCAGCTTCACCACTGTCCTTCACCACTGTCTTCACCATCCGCACTGGGTCATCTCTTCCTCTGCAAAATGCTAGCTTCACCACTGTCTTCACCATCCGCACTGGGTCATCTCTCTTCCTCTGCATAACGCTAGCTTCACCACTGTCTTCACCATCCGCACTGGGTCATCTCTCTTCCTCTGCATAACGCCAGCTTCACCACTGTCTTCACCATCCGCACTGGGTCATCTCTCTTCCTCTGCAAAATGCTAGCTTTACCACTGTCTTCACCATCCGCACTGGGTCATCTCTCTTCCTCTGCAAAATGCTAGCTTCACCACTGTCTTCACCATCCGCACTGGGTCATCTCTCTTCCTCTGCAAAACGCTAGCTTTACCACTGTCTTCATCATCTGCTCTGGGTCATCTCTCTTCCTCTGCAAAACGCTAGCTTCACCACTGTCTTCATCATCAGCTCTGGGTCATCTCTCTTCCTCTGCAAAACGCTAGCTTCAACACTGTCTTCACCATCTGCACTGGGTCATCTCTCTTCCTCTGCATAATGCCAGCTTTACCACTGTCTTCATCATCCGCACTGGGTCATCTCTCTTCCTCTGCATAACGCCAGCTTTACCACTGTCTTCATCATCTGCTCTGGGTCATCTCTCTTCCTCTGCAAAACGCTAGCTTCACCACTGTCTTCATCATCTGCTCTGGGTCATCTCTCTTCCTCTGCAAAACGCTAGCTTCACCACTGTCTTCATCATCTGCTCTGGGTCATCTCTCTTCCTCTGCATAAAACCAGCTTCGCCATGTTGTAAATAATGAGAGTCACCCGAGGTTGTTGATTATTAATAGCCACGCGTGTGTTTACAGAATGGCAAAGTAAGCGAATAATGAGAAAATATATTGCTAATAATTGCGTCGACATGTTTCTGATCATCATCGGGTTTGTAGATTTACATTCTATTCTAATTTTCCGTTCATTTGAATAACTGGAGAGGTGATTCCATGCTTTCTTTCTTAAAACAACAACACGCTATCAACTTATATGTATTTAATATCATTCAATTTACATATTGTTGAACCAATTCTGTTAACAAAAAAATAGTTCGTCTTTATCTCAGTCAGGAGATAGAGGTTTTTGCATAACTTGTAACAGTATCTATGACTTTAGTATTCAGCGTAATGACCATTTTCCTGTTTTTGCTTTCAATTAGTTTTCTGAAAAAATTGTTATTTCAATAAGATTCTGTTCCCACATCTTGGCCTTAAATATATATCGGAATGTTTACTCTTAGTTTGTGATTTTCATGCCATTTTAGACTTTTGAAATAATGCACATCCCTACACCATTTGGTTTTGTTAGATATAATATATATAGAACAGACTGGCACCCTAGGTGTATTATCTGCCATGTTTTACGTTTGTTTTTAATGTGTATGATTTCTGCGAGAAAATACAATGCAGAAGATTTTGGTATTTAATCACCATTACGGAATCAATCTCAGTATCGTGTCTAACCAAAGAAGTATGACCTAGACTAAGAATAACGTACTTACTGACAACAGCAATATACCTGATGCATTGACTAGTACTTCCACTAAGGCTCAACACGTTCATTACGCCAGGTGCTGTATAGGTTCAGCATTTTCATCCAGGTAAACAATAAGTACCTGTGATATACACACGATATATTAACCATGGCAGTATGCCTTTCGAAATATTATTGGGAATTATAGTGTCAGAAAGCTTATAGTGAGTACGTAAGTTTAGTTTTACGCCGCAGCAATATTCCAGATATATTACCGCGGTCTGTAAATAATCGAGTCTGGACCAGACAATCCAGTGATCAACAGCATGAGCATCAGTCTACGCAATTAGGATACGATGAAGAAAGCCTGTAATCACAGGTCATGACTGAAGGGATTACCAAGGCATAGGCTGACAGTTTTCCAATACAAGGCATTGATCCAAACCAAGTAGACACATCACCTGTATTTGCGTCGTATATTTATTGTGATAGATTCCGTTAAGAGACAAGTATGTTTATTATGCTTAGTATGTGTAACACAAAACGCCATTTTGTTTGCTTCCAATCTGCAGTTCCCATTGGTGGTACCACAGGGGGTAGGAACCAATCACTCCCCCTCCAGGTTCCTACCGACTACCTGGAATCTAGAAACTATCTGGTTTCTCAGTAATCCACTTACTTGTTGCGTGCACTTCAAACCGTCGTGTTATAACAAATAAAGAAGTTGATAGCCAGAAAATATTGACTCCTGTTCATCACTTCGAATTGCCCGTCAAAGCACTCACAGAAGGTAATTATGACTCGTGTATACCGGCTAACATTATATTACTTCACATGATCATGAAAAATCCATATAGTCATATGTAATGACATGCCCACATGCAGATTAACATAGGGCACTTAAAGAAATCATTACAATGTGACATGCAAAGAGTTACACAGCCTTTCCTTTGGTCACTTGTCTGACAACTGAGGTGTCAAACTAATGGGATAAAACTAAGTAAAGTATCCCTTTAAGCCATGAACAGTTTCCACCGATTGAGGAACACTCAAACTTCGGATTTACATATTGATTCTGTCGAGTGAGTTCCAACCTAACGTTGCATCAGTATTATTGCAGCCACACAGCGACGGTGACACCGCGCCAAGTTTCATACAAACATGCAAATCAAGTTATTTCATGTTTGGAATCTTCGTCGACAAGTTGATTTCTGATGATTCATTAATTACTCAGAAGACTAGTTATACCCTTTTCTGTAGACTAGTCTCCGAAATGAACATATTTTACAGAAAAAAAGCTCATAGCAAAAATAAAATATAATGAAAAGGAGCCCTGACACTTTCTTCATTACAGAAGCTGTGGAAATCTAGACTTGCCACATTTTCTAGACTTGCGTGGGCTTTCTTGGATCTATTTTCTTCAGGGTCTGTATGTCAGATTGCCTTTTCTTATTCGATTACATTTGCTCAAGGACACATTAATGTTGTGTTTGTGTGTTCTCCGATAACATAATTAACAGCACTGTAAACTGTCTACGGTTACAAACAAATCTCCTCTGTTAATGTTTGTTCAGTCGCAGGTACGACGATGCAAATATCAAATTCATTTTGTAAACATCCCTTTATTTTAAAACACGAGTCTGAATTTACCAGAGACATATTGAACGCGAGATATGCAAACATATTCCACAATATTAATTGTGTATGGAGTTGGCCATTATGCCCTAAAAAACTCTTAGTATATTCTGATATTTTCATCAACCAGAAGGGACTTAGCCGACAGATTTCCAGTGTGTTAAATGTATTAGACATACACGTACATTAAAGTGTACACAAGTCCCATCTTTTACGCGAAATTTAGTGAGTGAGTGAGTGAATTCAGTTTTACGCTGCACTCAGCAATATTCCAGCTATATGGCGGCGGTCTGTAAATAATCGAGTCTGGACCAGACAATCCAGTGATCAACAGCATGAGCATCGATCTGCGCAATTGGGAACCGATGACATGTGTCAACCAAGTCAGCGAGCCTGACCACCCGATTCCGTTAGTCGCCTCTTACGACAAGCATGGGTTACTGAAGGTTCATTCTAACCCGGATCTTCACGGGTACGATATTTAGTGTGATCACTTCAAACAGAAGATGGTTATTTTTTTTATTCGAGGACAAAAATACTGAATCAGATTTCTCTAAGCGGCCCTACAAAAGTTGAAATATTACATGGGTTCTTTTCAACACGATTCCAATCATTTCATGGCGTGTCAGTTTAATGTGTGGAAATACACGAAATGATGCAAATCTTTACATTTACCATTAAGCTGAAAGCGACATGCGCAACCCACGAGCAGATTAGAATCCTGTCACACACAGGGGAAGTAAGTGTGCATGTTGTATTGCAGGGCCTTAGACGACTGGGTCATCCAATGTCTACAATGTTTCCCTAATAAGGTCCCGAAGTGACTCATGTTATGTCATGACATTCGAGAGAGTAGATTGCACTCCTCCTCCTCCTCAACTATACACGTATATATACACAACACAGAACGTAATCTCACCTTTAATCTAACAGTAAACTATTTATTGACATTGCATTTATCTGAACACATTTATGTAAATATACACAATTAACCACACGACCGAATGGATACTATAAAAAAAAGAAACGCATAGATGTATTTTCACGAATTT